TCAATATTAAAACATTGTGATAATGGTATAGTTAAATCAAATAAAAGGTAAAGAGTTGTCTATATGCTATGAAGATAATATTCAGAATACTCTAAAGGACAAGAGCAGAAGGCAGAGACTGACAGCAGAGCTACAGCAAATCATAAATATTTATTTCTCTGAGCTACAATTTAGAAGTTTTAGTAATTACCCCCTGTACTTACTTTTTAGTGGACAATAGGCAACATTTTCTAGTTTTGTATAATCTTGTATAATTCCTAAAAAAAAAAAATTTAATATGTAATTGGTTAGATATACACACATTATGAACTTTTATTTGATGCCCTATAATGAGCATGAAAAGATTCCTTTCCCAGAATCATCCCTCACAGAGTACAGACTAAAAGCATGGTAATACTGTTACTAGCTACTTGTTATTTCTTGTAATACACTACACAGCAACCCTCCAGCTCCTAAACAGAGACTGCAAGAGAGCTGGAGAGGGATTGTTTACAAGGATGTGTGGTGACAGGACAAGGGGAGATGGCTTTTAGTTGAAACACAGTAGATTTAGATTAGATACTAGGAAGAAATTTTTTACTGTGAGGGTAGTGGAACAGGTTGCCCAGAGAAGCTGCGGGTGCTCCAACCCTGGAAGTGCTCATGATCAGATTGGATGAGGCTTAGAGCAATTTGGACTAAGGCTAAGTATTCCTGTCCCTGGCAGGGGGATTGTAACTTCATGATTCTTACTGTTCATTACAACCATTCAAATATGTTTGAAAAGTACCTAGTGGAAGAAAAGTGAATTATGCATTGTACCATCCTCAATAAGCTTTACTCTCCAACAGGCCCTAAATTAGACTCATTCACTCCACTGCCTAATACTTGTCCACAAATCGCTACTGAACTAAAAACTGTAACTTTGCCATTGCTGTCTTCAACAGAGCTAGCTGAACTTCTATGATGGAACATCTGAACAACTTGGCAACTTGAATCTGTAGAGACCTGTGGCTCTCTCAAGTTTATGGATAGAGCCAGAAGGGGAAAAAAAACATCAAAACATGAATCAATTATTTTTTAGCTGATAATATGGTGGTTAACCAAAACCATAATGCTTTAAAGCAACCCATGGCCATTCAACTGAGCCTACACAAATGATACATTCGTCATCAGTAAAAATTATGTACAGCATCCTGTAGAGTTTTTCAGTCAACAGTTTCAGGTCATCTTTGCCATAGAGCATGAAAGATATGAGAATCCTTTCCTAGGGTATTAGGTTTTATGGAGCTATGCCAGCACATTTGCAAGTATTTGGTATGAAAATTGCATTCCTTCAAACACGTCAGGGAGCACATTCAGCACAACATACTGAGATTTAGCTGTCTGATTCTCATTAATGTTAATAGGAGTTGTGTGGCTGCATCCCAGCAGACTTAGTTGAATTTTTGCCCCTTCCACTTCACATCCACACACCACATGCCTGTGCAGTGCATTCTGACTACTGAACTAGTTTGTCAGAGATGATACAATATCAAATGCTTGAACAGCACTAAATGTCTGAATTATGGTAGAGATCTCATGGAATTAAACTTTTAAAGATTCTTTAAGAAATATAAGCCAAGGATAATGCAATGTAAGAGAGACATCTCCAATAAATGTGGAGTGTTGTACTTTCAGGAAAAGTCATTATTTGAGGCAGTGATTATAAATGTTATCTTGGTCACTGTCTAGAGGAGTAGACTTGGGTTGGGATGATCTTCCCTAATGCTGTGCCACCTCAGATAGATCATTTCACTTTCTCTGTTCTGGTTTCAGTAGTAGTGAAACTGAAATATTTGAACTCACCTCTTCACCTTATTGCTCATCAGAAAACAATATAAAATAAGTATTATTTTTCCCTAGTTCAACTGAATGTTCATGTTCATCGATGTGACAGACTAAGATCAAAAAATCAGATTTATTTAATATCAAATTTACAGAATCATTGCTCAACTATATTCAGAAGTCAAACTTCTCTCAAATCAAAATCGTATACTGTGAACACAGAGTCATGTTTTAAAAGACAGTCAAAATAAACAGTATGAGCCAGATATATGTCTTATTAGTGAAGTGAACAGAACCTTGCCCAGGAGCTTTCATGTGATGCTATAAATCTGCTGTAGAAAGACTTCATTGATACAATAGCACTTTGACCTATCAGCTTTCATTATTCCTCCTTTGTTAAACTACTTCAACTTCTAACCTAATTTGCACAGATTTTTAACTGCTTCTGAAACTGCATGGATAGCCATAGCTATTGTTTACATGGGAAATTTACAATTATGAGGCAACTATACCTAAATTATACCTAGTAAGTCATATGATTGCCAAAAGCTTTATTTTATTTTTTTTTCCAAAAAGTGGATAGGTTCAGAAATGCAGTATTGTACCTGACATGGTGTTATTGATTCTTAGATGGGCAGAACAAGGTTTGTGTGATTTAGGATATAAAAGTTCATCAAAGTATACAGCATCACAAAGCGAGCTTGAAAAAAACCAAAAGCTTTGAGCATTGGATACTCCTGAAGAATCCATGACCCTAAATTTAGTTCTTAGGGTCTGGATGCAACTTATGAGTCAAGTTATGTGGTCAGACAGGACTTACCAATGTCTTTGTTATGAGTATGGAACCGTCTAGCCACTACTAATGACACACTTGAAAGAGATATGTTGGCTTGGTGTACATAACATGTATCAAATGATATTTTTCCCTCTACCAACTTGATGTCCAGAACTGACTGATAAACGTAAGCAGCTATGAAGTATTTTTTTAGGAACAGAATTTATTCCTATTCAAATGTTGAGAAAACTTCTCTTTCTTATATAACCCTGTCTTCCCCACACACACACTCATTGAACTTGGGCATAATTCGAACTAAAGAGACTCAGCTCAGCAATGTCATTTCAGAACTGAAATGATTCTTGCTTCTTGTGAAAAAAGAACTTTAGACTCCTAGCAAACTATAAATTTGAAAAGTAGCACTGAATTACACCTTATATTCAGTGTCTAGATTCTACTTTTTATTTTATTTTTATCTGGTATTAGTTATCAGAGTAAGGCCTCGTTAGGATAGTTAAGATATGCTTAACCTTTCCACTTTCTACTTGAAAACTCATTGCAAGGAAATGTAACTTATTGTAATACACTTGATATGTAGTATCAAGTTTGGTGCATCATATCTAACCTTTAATTGCTTGTGGAATATGTTTTAAGAACAAAATGAAACACCTTGAAAGGGTGCTATCTTTACAGTAATCTACCCATTACAACCAGCTTTAATACAGTAAAATGTGTTAAAATATATTTTGCAGATTTTTAAATATATATGCAGACCTCCTGCTGTCCCACTAACCCAAAAAATCAGTGAAGATAATTTGAACTAAAAACCTCAGATACTAAATCATGTGCCAATGAAACATGTATTCACGTCATTAGACCGAAAATGTGAATTCTCAAAAGGATATATAAAAAGAGTATCCAAATACCACTTCTACTGCATTTGAATGGAAATTGTGAATTCCAGTTCTATAAGAGAGTATGTTGGGAAATAACAAAGTATTTTGGCCCTGAGCCTGTATACATCATACTCTTATGTCTGTATAGCATTTTCCCACTTCAATCTCCACCCATTTTAAAGATCTGATAACATTTTCAAGCAGCATCTTCATTTAAGGTCAAGAAAAAATCTCTAACATGTTAATCAAAGTGAATACTTATGGTCATATCTCAATGCTGACATTTAAAAGAAACTGCATGTAAATGAGATATGTGACTGTGTTACTAGAGAAGACTATCAAATACTGAATACAGAAACAGAATGAAACTCATTATATTGACTGAAGACCTTCATGTGCATCCTCTAAAGTGAAAATTAGACTTAGATTTGTAAACTTTGAAGCCTAGGAACTCTTGGGTATATGCTCCTTAGTGCACCCTGATGCCTCTACTACATAAAAATTAAAAGTGTAACATTAAACAAAATTTTCTGCTGTTGCATTTTCTGTTCTTGTAGACTCGGAAGTGAAGAGCTGACAAATTGAACAAATTTCTCTGATAACCTTGAAGATTGCCTTTTAAAATAAAAAAATCTACATTCTTTTATGATGGGTTCTTTTAAAATATGTGACTTTACTACTTTCTTCTAATCTGATTTTATTAAAAAGTAATATAATCTTTAATTCACAGTCCACCTCTTTCAATAAATACTTAATCAAATATGAAAGCTAACTTTCTTATTTCAGGAATGAGTATGTACTGAAAATGAAAAGTTATTTGTAGTAGTCAAAAAAGGACAACATTAGCAAAGAGGTCTAGCGCTATACACAGATTAAATAATTTTACATTTTTGAGGAATACACACAGCACTGGTGGTTCAGGGCTCAGCTGCAGCAAGGAATGCAGATGGACCTGTGGGTGATGGGAGCTGGAGGCAAGAGGCCATGAACTGGTACCAACTCTGCACATAGCCAAGGGCCTGGGGACTGACCACACACCGAGAGACACAGCAGCAAACTTGCAACACCTGAGACTGTAAGGGTATTAAAGCTCAGGTTTTCACCCCCCCAGACTGTAAAAGTAGAAAAGATTTCCCTTTGCTTGTGGCCCATCCTCAGAGGCACTCAGATCAAGCTGTTGGCTTTTGTTGAACTATAATTAATTTCAGGATCAAAATATTTGAGACTCTGCTCTGGGAAACCTGAGGTTGAACTAATAAGGAAACCTGGTCTAACAGTAAGTGTGGGGTGTGTGGGGATTTGTAAGACCCCAAAACTTGCTCAAAGAGGCTCTTAAAAGGGATTACTGCTTGTTACTCTGAGTTAGACGTGCAGGAAAAACATGGACGAGATATTCTCAAGAGGTCAAAACAACAAAACCTTTACTGACAACTTTAGAATATCAGAGACCTTTGCAAAAGTTTAGATCAGCATTCAGTCAACATAAAACTTGCCACAAATTATTAACTTAGCCCATTCAGCTTAGCCCATCCAATTTTAAATTACTCAAAACTCTGAGGAGAGGGAATTGGAAGAAGATGAAAGAGTGATGAGATACAGACAGGAACAAATTCTGGACTTAGGGTCAAAAAGCAACAATGACACTGCATTTGCTCTTTGATAAGACTGATCAAATTTCTGCTGTTAAAAGTTTGCAAAGTCTTGTATCTTCAGCAAGATGATTACTGATAATATTCCTGTATTCTTTTTCTGTTGTCTAATCTTGTAGAACACCTCCTGATGAATTCTTGTCTCTCACAGGTGGTGATGAGCAGCGTGCAACAGCTCATAGATATATTCAGTAGCAGAAATATTTCCCATGCCTGGAATCCAAGCCAATTTCAGATAGAAGACAAAATAATATAAACCAAATAGATGCATGTTCTTATTCAGGCACCTAATGGAAAGCTTTCATAAATTAAAATCCTTCATAATCCTTATTTCTAAGGCCAATATAATCAAGCATCTACCTTTCCTTTGAGCACACAGCCTTCTCTTTGATGTAGTGTATGGGCCAAAGAACTACATTGAAGACTCCTACGTAATATAGTTAATTCAACTAAGACCTAAGTTAAGTCTTTTTCAGTTGTTACCTCTAATTTTATATTTTTTATATGTTCTGGCCGTCCTATCAACAGGTCAGTTTTTTCTCAAATTATGGTTACTCTACTTCAAAGTCAATTGTTTCTAACTATGGCTATATTATCAGCAGTCAGTTACAGTAGGTAACTGTTTGGCAATACTTTACCTTATTTAGGAATAATAGAAAATACAAATTCAAATAACATTAGTGTCAATTGCTTAGGAACATTTACAATAAAAATATTTCTATTTTCTTGAGGTATCATAGCTTTTAAATAGAATACTTTTATTCCTTCAGGAGTACAAAATATTATTCCTTAACAATTTGATTGTGATGGTTGGAATTAGACCCAGCATGCAAAGAGAAGTTGATAGAGGCTGTGAACCTGTAGGGCTATCAGAGGATTCTGACTTAAATGTTAATTCTTTCTTCAATATACACTCACAGATATTATATAAAATTGGGGATTGTGAATGTGTATATACTGTATTTCAGCCTGATCAAACTATATACATTTATTAGTTGTTGTTGAACCAAAGGAATTAACTTGTGTTAAGATATATAAAAAAGGACTGCTTAAAAACAACAAAACCTATTTACCGGTACATTTACACTTAAATCTCAACACAAAATACATTAACATGAGTAGGATGAGAGGGAGTTAACAAAGAAGTTTATGTAAAGACGTTGCACTGAACACATAAGAAATAGGAAAGTCATCAAAAAAGAACCTCAGTATCATTAATAATAGATCTTTCTAGTCTATTTTTTTCCACTACCACAGAGCTTAAGAGAAAATAAATGCTCTTATAGTCCTAATTTTAAAACAAAAAAGATTTGTAGAAGGCAAAAAATAAAGTCCATCACTATAAAAAAAAATTCCAGAAGTCACCAATCTTCTTCTGGATGAATCTGATTTGCTCATCTGTAAATTTACAAGGCAAAAATACTTCCTATAAATTTTTTAATTCATTAAAAGATGGCTAGCAAATTCCAAGTGTGTTTATCTATTTTCCCATTTTTTCAGTCAAAAAGCAACAGATAAAGCCATTACAGATATGATGGAGGAAGTTAATTTAGAGGACAGAATCACTGGCAGACACAGACTGAGGCTTTAAGGCATTATTACACAGATGGCTAAACATTGCACCATCTAAACAGTATATGTTCTCACCAACTCTACAAATTGATAAACATATTCATCATACACAGATGATAGAAACATGGCCCAGTACTCCCATTTCACTCAATATCGAGAATGACGTCAAATCCTGTCTCTAATTAAGTATCGGAAGTATTCCATCACCAGCACTCTTCTCCTTTTAACTGCCTAAAACCTCATATAACCTTAGACATCATGATTTACAGTTTTAGAGGTTTTTTGATAGATTCTGATAGATTCTGTGATTCTGTGAAAAGTCTATATTTCCAAACTTGATCCTGGTTTTTCTTATAACAAAGGCAGAAATATCTAATGTTTTTATCTGAATGTATTAGTTTTGGCTGGGACAGACCAAGTTTTGTTCACAGTAGCCAGCATGAGACTATGTTTTGGATTTGTGCTGAAAAGAGTGTTGATAAAGCAGCGGTATTTAATTATTGCTGAGCAGTGTGTACACAGAATCAAAGCCTTTTCTGCTCCTCGCACCACCCCATCAGCGAGGAGGCTGGCATGCACAAGAAATGGGCACTGGGCATAGCTGGGACAGCTGACCCCCACTGACCAAAGGGATGTTCCAGACCACATGACATCATGCTCACTAATAAATGCAGAGGAAAAAAAGGAGAAGAGGTGGGAAGGAAACGATATGACACGAGAGAATAAAATACAATACAACATGACACGGCATGACATGACATGACACACAACAGTTAGAGATGTGGTATTTTTCTTCTCAGGTTATCATTTTCATGGAGATGACTAAACATCTGTCTGAAAATAGTGAATTAACTCCTTATTTTGCCATGTTTGCTCAAGTGGTTTTTGCTTTACCTATTAAACTGTCTTTATCTGACCCCATAAGTTTTTTGTGTTTTAACTCTTTCCATTCTCTCCCCTATTCCCCTGGCAGAGTAGCGGTGTTGTGTGTAGTTGTCAGGTGAAGTTAAACTGAAATACAAGAAAAATTCTGAATTTGCTTGCTTTTTTATAAAAATGGCAATAACAAGACATATTAGCAATAGTCAGAAATATCAATAGCCATCAAAACAAAGAGGATGGTCAGATTTGGTTCTATCAAATGGCAAAATCCTCATTTGATATTACTACAAAAAATTAAATTAGGCCTGTAATAAAGCAAGCAATAATGAGTCAGATCTCAATTAATTAAACTGTACTATCCAAGCTAGCTGAAAAAATGACCTGTTGGGATATTTTATAGTTTCAATTTTTATATGGATATGGAATTCATAATTTTAATATGGAAACAACAGTTTAATATAAACAGTTGATGAATCAAAAATTATTTTATTCACCAGATCCATACAAGAGAAAGGTGAAGTAAATGGCTTTCCAAAAAGGCCTGGCTGCAGCTGCACAGATCTATGTGTCTAGCAAAGTGACTGTTTAAAAAAATGCGAAGTACCTTGGGAGTCAACTGTTACCCAAGGAGGTAAGATTTGGTAGAAAGAGCATTATGTTTCAAACTTTCTTGCTTTCATATTTCTTTCCTGTCTGCAAAATAAAATGATATTTCATCTGAGCAGCACATCTCACATAAATACAATTTTACAGCAATGATGAACAATCTTGCTGCCTTAGGAACCAAACTTTTCTTAATTGCTACAAGACACATATGATATTTACCTCAAACTTATTCCAAGATAATCAGAATAACTTAGAACTGGTTCAACTGATTCATAGAATCATCACAGAAACATAGAATGGTTTCTGCTGAAGGGAACCCTAAAGAACATCTAGTTCCAACCCCCCTGTCATGGTCAGGGACATCTTCTATTAGACCAGGATGCTCAAAGTGTCATCCAGCTTGGCCTTGAATACTTTAGGTTTGGATATCCACATCTTCTCTGGGCAACATGCTCCCTGAAGCCTTCTCTTCTTCATGCTAAATAATCCAAATTCTCTTAGTCTTCCTGCATAGCAGAGGTGCTCCATTCCTCTAATCATCTTTGTGGCCCTCTTCTGAACTTCTTCCAACAGGTCGATGTTCTTCCTGTGCTGAGTACCCCAGAGCTGGATGTAGCATTCCAGGTAGGATCAGAAAAGTGGGGCAGAATCCTCTCCCTTGCCCTGTTGGCCACAGCTCTTTTGATGCAGCCCAGGACATGTTTGGTTTTCTGGGCTACGAACACACATCTCCTGCTCACATCCATTGCCTTCTCATCCACCAGAACCCCCAAGTCGTTTCAGCAGGGCTGCTCTCGATCTGTTCATCCTCCAGCCTGTGTTGTCACAGCCTAGAGGCAGCACCTTGCACCTGGCCTTGTTAAACCTCATGAGGTTCCCAAGCACCCACTTCTCGAGCTTGTCCAGGTCCCACCAGATGGCATCCTGTCCTTCAGGAGTGTCAACCCCACCACTGCGAACACAAAGAATAACAGTTTCTGTCTAAAAGACTTTTTTTGGTACTAGGTAGCAGCTGTCCTTCATGATTATAAAAAGAAAAAAAGAAGGCAAAAATTACAGACTTTATTACATTTAATTAGTTGTGCACCATTGCTACTGTTATCATTGCTACCATCATCATTGCTACCATCATCATTGCTACTGTCATGTCATAATACAATTTTTGACAATTTACACTATGACATGTCAAGACAAAATTGCATTACGTAATTCTTTAAAATTTTAAGACGAAGCATTCTAGAAAGCAAAAAGGGATGAAATAAAAACAAACAATTTCTGCACAAGTTTCCAAATGAAGTGCAGAATTTTAAATCTTGAAGTTTAATGAAAATAAAATTTTTCATTAGGAAAAATCCCTAACTTCCTAGCACAAAAAATTCAAACTGCTCCATTGAGAACTACTTTAGGATTGACTCTACAATCAACAGAGTACATGTTGTTTTACACACAAGGTAACACCCATTAATTAGCTGATGTAATATTACGACTAACAGATGGGATGCATAAAACAGTGCCAACAACACTTCAGCAGTTCTTATTTAACACATTCACCTTTAGGAAAGTTATGAAGATTCAAGGATAATGTCATTACCTTTTCCTTTAATGTCTTCAAATGCCCTGCTTTGATACTGATGTTTAACTGTGAGACTGATATTATTCAGGACACTGCCTTTTTTTCTTCAGTCTAATTGGTAAATTATGCCTGCAGTATAAAAATATTGGTTACTGAGAGCAAAAAACCACATTTTAATATATTAATCTAATTTAAACATATTTATCTAAGAACATTACTTTCCTCTTTACATCAAATATAAATGTTTGTATAGACTTCAAATGCAGAAGGGAGTCTTATGTATAAATCTTAAATAGATCATGC